CACACACACACATATATATATGTGTATATATGATTAACTCTATTAGTTATTACAATATTTATATTAAATATTTAAGGAAATAACGGAAACATATGGAAATTGTGAAATTATTTGGAAAACAAAAAAACAGAATAAAACAGAATAAAGAGAGAATAAGCTAAAATTGCAAGAAAAAGTGAATTTTGCTCGACTGAATCTTTATTCAAGAGAAATTGTTTACTCAACGAAAACGTTGCCCATCGTCTATTCAGTATGTTTAAGCAACTTCAATTTTCCGGGAACTCCGGCCGATATGCATTCGACGGGCGCATTATCATTGACTACGATGCAGCCGCATTTCGGTCACGCACGATCGAGTATTATCGTCATCATTGGCTATAGCGGCCATTCGTGAGCTACCGAGCATGCGGAGGGTAATCGCGGTCTAGAGAAGCGCTTGCAGACTATCGTTCCCTCCTCCTCTCTGAATATTGTATCCGGAGATACTTGTGCGTCGATAACGAACCATTAGTAATTACATTCTACGTGCCGCGGCAAATTCAATACTAGAAAAGCTTAAGATACAAATTAAATCATCAAATCTTTTTATTAGGAAAAACGATTCAATTAATATTGAGTAGTTTAATATATTAACATACTACTTGTTGATTAAGTTCCAAATATTATTTATAAAAGATCCTATAAACTATTAATTTACTAACATAACAAATTTTGAAAATTTTAAGTTATAAAATGTCTATTTACTAACTATACTAATCATCATTTCCTTTTCTCTTTTGCTTCCAGATATAATAATGTTCACCTACTAACTTTGCGAAGAACCCGCTACTAACACAAAAATGCGCTCTTAACTAATCGCCACAGATTTCCATTATCGTCGTAAGCGCTATCGTCCTCGGGCCGTAGCGCGGTCGTCCCGCGGAACGATCATGCGAATCCCCGAAAATGCGCAGGACCAACAGCAACGGCCTCAAACTCGACCTGACGGAGAATACGCCAGGTAGCTCGTTGTCGCGGCTGCCGAATCTGGTCGAACATGCGGAGACCTGTCAGGCATTGTCTGCCGGAACCGGTGAGAATTTGAGCAGCAAATTGCCTAACGTGGTCGAGGGCTCGATGGACTATGGTAGCGAGCGAAGGTCCTCCCGTTATCTGGAGTACCAAGAGATTAAGTCCTACCAGGACCCCCAGTCGTCCGCCTCGGCGGCGCCGGCCTATGAGGGGACTTATCACGATCAATCGAGAAGCTACCGAAACTATGATCGTAAGGGAGGCGTCGGTTTCGACCGGGAGAACCTCGAGAGGTACGACAATAGAATCTACCCGGAGGACGGGCTAAGATACGGTGCCGATCGCCGCGTGGATCAGCGCACCTATCAAGAATCGGATCTGGACGCGCCTTACGATCGAAACGACGCGCAAAAGCTCAGCCGAGCTTACCCGGAACTTCAAGATCCCAGCAGGCGCTACTCGCGTGATCTGACCGATTATGACTACGCGTCGCGTTACGCCGAGGAGACGCTGAAGCTGGAGCCCAAGAAAGATCACCATCACCATCATCATCCGGGTAAAATCTACGAGTCGGCTGCCTCCAAAGGTTATGAGTCAGGTGTAAAGACTCATGATTCCGCTTATGATCTGGGCACCTGTTCCGGACAACAGGAGCCGCCAGCTAGGCAGTATGAAAGCAAGTATCATTCGGTCAGCAAGATGTACGGCACCCTGCCTAGGTACGAAAGCAGCAAGTCCTACGAGCCGACTTACGAGTCCAGGTCAACTTACGAGCCCAAGTACGACGAGCAGTCGTACGAGTGTGGCGGTAAGACGTACGAGTCTAAATACGAGCTGACGAGCTCGAAGAGCTATGAAAGGGCCAAGTACGAAGGCACCTCGTCAACCAGATATCAGGATAAGTCGTATGATCAGACCTTGAAAATTGGCGAACTGGGCTCGTCCTCCTCCGGCGCATATGTCAGGAAGCATCAAGATCAGGAAGAGACTGGTGCAGAGAAGATGAATGGATATAGGAAGAATAATTTCGAGGCTTATGGAGTTTACTCAGATCCTGAGGACGATCATGGCTTCCTGGCAGATAAGAAGACGCCCCAATATACTTACAAGGGCGTTGTGGTGAACGTTAGCGGAGAGTCCGCGGTAGTCGATCAGAAACGATCCAAGGACAACAGGCAAACGGAAGTAATCAGAAGTCCTTGGTGCAGGCCGACCATACTGTTACTTCTATTGGTGCTTCTGGTTGTCATCTTTGTCTTCGTCGCTGGAATACTCTTGTACTTTAATTGTGAGTTTTTATCACTTACAACAAATTTTTGTGAAAAGTTTCACATTTTACGTATTATTTTCATGTGAATAAACATACGTTTATTTAGTTTTTTATTCGGTTAAAAATAAAATTTGTAAATATTTTTTGCACGAAATGTATTCAATTTTACGTAAAAATATATTTTATAAAAATATATCGTAGATTTTATTTACAATAAAAATTTTGTTAATAAATAAATAAATAATAAATTCGAGCATGAATTAATATTGCATGCAAAATTCGAGAATCCTGTGCTAACGTAACCGCAAGAATTTATTTGAAAGTTGTTACTTCCTTTAATTTTACATTATGCATTTTGAAACTTGTACATTTATTATAATTTATTACAGACGATAATGCGGCGTTTAGTATAATAAATTTGCTAATTCCTTGAATTTAATTTAGAGTTCGTTACTCTAAATTAAATTTTACATTGTTGAATAAGAAAATATTATATATTCAGATATAAGACAATTGAACTTTAAGTACTTTCCGAGTTAGCATTTGATATTCTTTATTTTAGCAAAAAGTTAAATAGCGAATTTTCTTGTCTAGCACATAGCATCCATTCAATTAAATTTAATTTCCCTATAACGGCGAATTGAAAAGCTAGCGTTTGGACACTCGATAATGAACTTTGATAGGATAAGAACGAAGAGTGCTAATAAACTTTTTGTGCTAAGTAACTTTTTATTTCTTTATTTATCGTTTGAGAAATAAGACATGTCATTTGTCTCTATATGGTACCCCAGATGCACTTCTACCGTCTACAGATTTTTAGGTAGACACGTAGACGATTTTTTCTCTTCAAGAATTAAGGACTTAAAGCCTTATATTTGTCACTATTTGTTAAATTTTTCTAATCTATTCTTTTCTATTCAAATTTTCTCGATTGGAGATTGCGATATGTGATCCTTCCAAAGATCAATTCCACATTTTTTAACTAGCTACATTTTGACATTTTTTTCAAATTGTAAAATTCCTGATTTAAGGAAATTTCAATGTGCGAAAAAAAGTATATAATCAACATATACTCACACATATGCTTCTTTTCGTGAAAGCTTTATTTATCTCTTTGTCTCTCTCTTTCTCTTTCGACATTCTATATTGCACTTGGCGTATTTTATTGTCGTGATACAACGTTCGTGAGTCGACTCGGCGATAACGGTGGATGATTTAGCTAATGAGCATCCGATACCAATTATTTACGAGTGTACTTGCGTTTACCATAGTAATGGTCACAGTACGACAATAGACGATGGCTAGTACGACGACGAGGACGGCGAAGACGACGACGAGGACGGTGACACGTGCTGACGATATGTTAAGCCGAAATGGTTACTGTCTCCGCGGTAGTTTTATGTGTCGAATTTGACATGCCGGGCACGTAGCGACTTGCCACTAGCGAAACTGTTCGGTTGGAATTACAATGCGACCGGTGGATGGAGGGCGGACCAGTGGGTTTAAGGAAAATAGGTAGAAAAGAATGACGGACCGCGCGCTGGACAGACCAATCCGTTTTCGCATCGTGCGCGATCGTATTTGTTGAGGATGAATGGCAACGGGAAGGAACGCGAAGTCGCATTATCAGGGGAAGCTAGCAATTTTCTGTGACCTAACGTAAAGGAAAGCTGGGTCTCTCATGCCAGATTTCGATATTTTCAAGAATTCAAATCGGCGAACTTGAATTGAAAATTCAAGATTTCAGAAATTCAGAACAAATTTTATTTTATAATAGAAAACGAATAGAAAAAGAAGGGCGGAGAGGTAACATTTTTATTTAGTTTGTCCAGTAACGAGTAGCGAATAACTAATTGAACAACTTTGTCAATTCGCGCGCGCGCGCGTCCGCAAGTGATTAATTTCAACGCCAAACTCGCTAATGGATCCTGTTAAAAAATTTTAGAACGTAAATGTATAACGCGGATGTTAACGTAACATTGGGCGATGCACATTTTCAGGGGGAAACATTCACAGAGTGGAAAAAAAGCGGACACTCTACGGCACATGAAATATCGCGATAAATGCCGCTGTGAAAACGTGTGCAGAAGTACTTTTCTGCTTACGCGGTTATGGTCAAGCTCTATATCAAAACCGGAACCCCTTCTCCGCAGATAAGTTTGTTATAGGATAGCACAGGATCATAATAGTTTATAGCCTCCGCTATAGCTATAGGTTGTCTCGTAGTTTGCATACATGGTTTATTTCCAATTATTTCAGTGAGTTATTCACCTTGCGAAGTAAATATTTTTTTAAGATACCATTGTGCAAAATGATACCGATTCTTTGCGGTACAAAACATGTGGGATATGATGAATAATTATATATTTTTTATTTAACAATTACGCATATAATTTAAATATTATATTTCATTTACATAAGGTACGCTAACAATGAAAAAAGAGAAAGTTTCATTTTTCTTGCGGACGTATTTAACAAAAAATATATAAAAATATTATAACTAAATTAAAATCATTGTTTTAATTCTATGTAAATTTGATACTTGAATTCATGACACTTTTTATCATGTTAAAAGAAACGCGTACATTGAGCTCGAGAAAATTGCATGTTGCATGTTTAAGCTATCATTGCTAATAAGTTACGAAATAACTTCGCTATAAAGATTTATCGCTTCACCCCTTTTACGGTCCATGGATCACGTGTTATACACATGAGGAAAGATCCACTCCATCCTTTAACGACGTCCTAAAGGAGCGTATCATTCACGATAGAAATTTATTTTCCTCTAACGTGTACGCACATTTATTGGAAACGAAAGGAGTGCCGAAGTATATAACAAAATGAGATGAAGACACCTTGTTCATGCAAAATCAATTCCCAATGACAGATTCAAAAAATAATCATATAAAAATAATAAACTTGAAAGAATTCGATTAATGAAAATTTTATTGTCTAAATAGATATTAATAAATTTATTGAAAATTGTATTAGTTCTATTTGACAAATTTTTAATAATCCTTTATTATTAATTTATTTGCGCCGTTTTTAAATAATTAGATGAAAATAATAATTTTCTCTTGATTATAATACAATATATGATTAATTAACAATAATATCAATTAATATCAATTTTAAAAATAATTGTATAAGATTTACAATATTATTTTCCCTTTTATTTCAGTCATTTGTTGTTTGTATGGGTTTCACGTTGCAAATTCTTCACGGATCACACTGGATCATACCGGATTATCTTCTCTCGCCTCTCGAGACAATTTTCTATATCCGCCTCTACTTCTTTCCCATTTATGAGATACTATGGCACGTTTAAGCGAGATTCCATCGCACCCGCGAAGAATATAAACCGTCTCGTTGCGATCATGTCGGACGAAGCAAGTCGTCCGCGAGAAACGAGCAACGATTTTCGCGCACGCTCCGGATTCGTATTTACAATCGAGCGGAAGAGCAGTCCGTGCGTTATTATGGGAAAAATAAAACTACCGCCCATCTCGCGTCAGTTTCTCTATTCCCGGATATCGAGCGTAGTGTTCGATACGAATGTTGCGTTTTTACGCGGTTTATAGAATGTTGTTGCCGTCCAAGAATGGTCGTCATTGTAGTTTACGTTACTGGCTCTCTTACGCCCGCGATATTCTATCGCTCTTTTCGTTTCCGTCTTTTCCAAGGAATCCATTAACGAATACAGAGACGGAAGCAATCTCTTTAGCAAATAAAACCGAGATTTTGCGTGACATGTTCCCATTATTGCGTTTTATTGTGATTAAACAATGATAACGTGTGGCATTTTAGATAAATAACACGCGAGATAATGTAATGAAATGCGCAAAAAACGCAGGGACACTTAAATTCACTGAGTGGTTGATATGCATCTGTAGGCGACTCGAAAGAGGAAAGCGTGGCACTTTTTTGCAAATCACCGTGACTCGCCGCCACTTTTTCCTGTCGATGTCTGCTTTCCCGGGCGACAACGACAGGATCGACGTTTCACCTGCGATGGCACGACAATAGCGTCGACCGAAGCTGCTTGGATCGAAGAATCGTCTCAGCACTCGCTCATATATAGGGCGTTTGTTCTGCAACTAGATATTCCTCAAAATCATATTTCATCATTAAAAATTTAACTGATCGTATATGTATTATTCAACATTTCAAAACTGAATATTAAACAAAATCTTTGAATAATTAACGCTACATCGGACTTTTGAAAATTAATATTGATTTATTTATTCAAGTTGCACAATCTAAAATTTCATCTGCGGAGTAATATGCAATTTAAATCTTATATTTCATTTCTGTTGATTTAATATTCATCTGCAGTAATTTCAGGATATTTTGTTACTTCGATATTTTAAATTACTTTTAAAGAGATTATCGAAGATAAGATATGATCTGATCTGGCTGGAGGTGTAGGGCTGCGGTTAAGGGTAGATTCTGTAGCCCCGAGACACCCAGTACAAGAGCGCCCATGTCGATTCTCTTCCACCCCGTATTCCGGGCGATTGCGTTTGGCGGCGGTCGACCGGGGCGTTCGAGCGATTCGGTTTATTTTCGGGTCAAGTTTTCGCCTGGCCGATTCGCAATCAGCCGGTGCATTGTCCGGCGCGGACAATACAACCACGGCGACGGAATCCCCACGCGCGTAGGAATCCCGGAGTTATCGTCCGCCCGCGCGCGCGGGAGGCTTGTCGGACCGACATGTTTTCGCCGGAATTTTCGGGAATTCAATTCGAATACCCGAGCACAGCTTGTAACGCCGTCTGCGACGACTCCGATTTCATTGAGCCCCGGCGTTAAGTGGCGAACCGGTGGTAACAATGGCGATTATGCAGTACCTAATTAATGAAGAGACAACGTGATGTACCGCGGTCAGAATCAAATCAAACTCGGTGGAAACAAATGGGATAATTTTTTTTAATGTTTGTTAAACAAAAACTCGTTTCCAAAGTCAACGAGGACTCTACGACCTGACAGACGACAGTTCTGGAACACCCCATATATAG